TGGAGGGGATCTCACGGGGACGACGGGAAGGAAGCGGGGGTAGGTAACGATTCATTCCTTCCATCGTCACCGGAAGCTCCTCATATCGGATGATTCGGTGGAAGTGAGGGAAGTAATCGCCGCTGCGAGGGAGGGAGGCGAGGTAGTCGCGATAGAAGGAGGAGAGGGTGCGGAAAAGCGTCGCTCGAAAGAACTCGTAGTGGTRACAGGCGGGGATTGTCCCCGTGGCTACGCAGTAGACTTCTACCACGTTGCATCGTTCCCATGCAGCGCTCAACAGCAGGATATGCCAGCAGAACGTGGTGGCAGCGGGCTGAAGGGATGTGTGGGGGTAGACATTAACGAGWAGGCGGGTAGAGTAGAAGTCGCGGAAGAGATGGGGGAGGAAGGGATGAGGGGGGAAGGTGACGGGGGTGTGGATCTGTTCGAGGGTGAGAAAATCAAGGGGTCGGCAGGATAGCGTCCGAGGACAAAGGCCTATCGCCCGCATCGGTACGTGGGCGAACAAGGGGAAACGTGGGGCTGGAGGAGGGGGGCGATCGACTCCGTCTCCGTCGCGTGGCACTTGAGGTGGAGGCTGCAGGGCCGCCATCTTCGGGCTTCGGCGGGTCCGGATCTCTGGTCGGATCGTTACCGATGCGCAGGCCGGCTCCGCTGGCAAACTTCATCTGGCGCTTTCCGGTGGCAATTTCTTCGCGCTTTCGCACTGCTTCTGAATCTTCCGCCTCCGTTCCTGTGCGCGTCGCTTCCTCCGGCAAGGCTTCCCACTCAGATCTGGCTTCTTCTCCCTCCTCTTCTTCTTCACTCAGCTCTCCTGCGCAATATTCACTATAGCTTCCCTCCTCCAATGTTTCTTCGTCTTCGTCCTCTTCGTTGTCGTCATCGTCGATCACTACTTCCTCCGCCCTCGGATAGAAGGCGTGAGGGATGATATCGTACGGCTTCAGATACCCCTGTCGCGATGGCAGCGTATCTTCGTCCCTGGGCTCCTCTAAGCACGCAGTCCACTGAAGGTACGGATCCAATGATCACTAGAGAACGTGCGGAGCAGGATTGTCGTCACTCTACGAATAGATGTCGGGCGAGAGATCGTCCGCTAATTGCACGATCGGTGCGATGAGCTCCTACGCAATCAACAGGCGGCTCCCCGACTGTACCGATTTAAAGAGAAAGCCAAGAGGATCGCCCTCTACGTTAGTCCTCCAAGCTTGGTCCAAGCTTGGATGATCAGCAGCTCCGGATTTTTGATCCACGCAGGATGCTCGCTGGTCTGCGTCCACGTCACATGTACTCTGGCCAAGCAGAAAGACAGCTCTTTAAAAGTTTCGCGCCACAGCCGCCAATGCCAAGGATTGATAAGAGGGACTGAAAGAGGCTCGAATGAGAAGGAAAGAGAAGGATGAAGATCGGATTGCCAGAAGGTGGGGAAAAGAGAGGGGAGACCACAAATAGAGAGAGGAGCGAGAGGATCGGCGTGGTTCATTGGGGACGTGGGAAGGGGACGAGGGTGGGGATTGCAACGGGCCGCTCACGCGGAGAACGGCGGATGTCGCCAAGATCCGGCGCAAAGGTAGGAATGAGGTTATGCCCAGGTGGGGCGAGGACGTGCTGCCACACGTTGGACACCTGCTCCGTCCACTCGCGTAGCGAACTCAAGATTGNGTTACCGATGCGCAGGCCGGCTCCGCTGGCAAACTTCATCTGGCGCTTTCCGGTGGCAATTTCTTCGCGCTTTCGCGCTGCTTCTGAATCTTCCGCCTCCGTTCCTGTGCGCGTCGCTTCCTCCGGCAAGGCTTCCCACTCAGATCCGGCTTCTTCTCCCTCCTCTTCTTCTTCACTCAGCTCTCCTTCGCAATATTCACTATAGCTTCCCTCCTCCAATGTTTCTTCGTCTTCGTCCTCTTCGTTGTCGTCATCGTCGATCACTACTTCCTCCGCCCTCGGATAGAAGGCGTGAGCGATGATATCGTACGRCTTCAGATACTCCTGTCGCGATGGCAGCGTATCTTCGTCCCTGGGCTCCTCTAAGCACGCAGTCCACTGAAGGTACGGATCCAATGATCGCTAGAGAACGTGCGGAGCAGGATTGTCGTCACGCTACGAATAGATGTCGGGCGAGAGATCGTCCGCTAATTGCACGATCGGTGCGATGAGCTCCTACGCAATCAACAGGCGGCTCCCCGGCTGTACCGATTTAAAGAGAAAGCCAAGAAGATCGCCCTCTACGTTAGTCCTCCAAGCTTGGTCCAAGCTTGGATGATCAGCAGCTCCGGATTTTTGATCCACGCAGGATGCTCGCTGGTCTGCRTCCACGTCACATGTACTCTGGCCAAGCAGAAAGACAGCTCTTTAAAAGTTTCGCTCCACAGCCGCCAATGCCAAGGATTGATAAGAGGGACTGAAAGAGGCTCGAATGAGAAGGAAAGAGAAGGATGAAGATCGGATTGCCAGAAGGTGGGGAAAAGAGAGGGGAGACCACAAATAGAGAGAGGAGCGAGAAGGCGTGGTTCATTGGGGACGTGGGAAGGGGACGAGGGTGGGGATTGCAACGGGCCGCTCACGCGGAGAACGGCCGATGTCGCCAAGATCCGGCGCAAAGGTAGGAATGAGGTTATGCCCAGGTGGGGCGAGGACGTGCTGCCACACGTTGGACACCTGCTCCGTCCACTCGCGTAGCGAACTCAAGATTGTGGTATGCCTCTGCGCATTGACCGAGCTGATGTCGCCGCTGAACACCGCAACCGTGGTGACGTGGCTCGTTTTGGGAGCCGCTCGCCGATGAACGCCGCAAATACTATTGCGTGAGGACTCCCTTCGATTCGAAACGCGGCGGCGGCACACACACYCSCGTCGCAGAAAAATTGCGCCAAACGCCGAAAATCCGTATTGAGACGAGGGTGACAAACTTGCCGAATCTCTGAGATGTGGCCACGTGGCTGCAACAGCTGTTCATCAAGAGCCCACTCCGTGATGAAACTCATGGCGAGGTTGGAGAGGAGGACAAAGGACAGGAGGGAGAGAGCGGAGAGAGAGTTAGATCGTCGTCGTTTTACTCGCTATCCTAGGAAGAAAAAGAAGGAAGATTAGAAGGAGGAAGAAGACTGAGGTAGGAGGTATGCCGGACGATGCGCACCGTGTTGGCGCCGTTGGGACCGAGCTCGACAA